GTTGACATTTTAAAGTTGACATTATTATCATGTAATACGACTAACGAATGAAAGAGAGAAAAAATCATTATATTATAGAAGATCTTATTTTAAAATATTATAGCAAATTATCTTAAAAATATAGATAATAGTCAAAAGATAGTAAAGTTAAATAATCTTAATGTTGTTTTTTGTCAAAATTAGCTTTTATTTACTTTGTAGGACCAAAAATAAGGCAAAATAAAGTAGATTGGAAAATTAAATGATATAAGTATATATAAGAGATAATTAAAAATAGATTTTAGAAAAAATTACTTCAAGAAGCTACGAATTGATACCCAGAGAAGATCAATTGTCAATCTGGATTGAAATTAGACCTTGAGATACAAAACTACGCACATATGGTGACTTTGGAATTCTTTGATAAATAAAAAAGTAGAATTTGAGAGAAAACTTGATTAGAAATTTTTAAGCATTGGTTTTATATCAATTGAATCAATATTAAACTTTTGAGGGATTTTCAAAGTTAGTAATATTCTCGATTGGCTTAGATTTTGAGAAATAAAAATATGTTTACAAATTTGAAGGTTTATTGAGTTTTTTGGTATATATAAAATTGAATTTTAGGTAAAAATTATAGATATTAGACTCAATTTTCAAAATTTTAGGTAAAAATTAAGAGCAATTCAATGGTTTAGGATTTAGGAGATATTAGGGTTGGAAGTTCAGCATTCAAATTGGAGTAAGAGGCCACATAATACTTAATTGGATTATCTTGTATTTCTCTAAATTGATAAGTGTAGTTTATTTATTTTTCTTGTGCTTGTTCCTAACTAAGACATTAAAAAATGTGCAAATTTTGAGTTGATATCAATGGTTCAATTATTAACTAATGATGTTCTATTTTGCTAAAGGATTTATTAAGAATTTATTTAAGATCTAACATTTGATTAAGATTTGGTTTAAGATTTGGTCTAGGATTTACTTAGGATTAAGATTTTCTTAGGATTTGGTTTAATATTTGGTCTAAGATTTATTTAGGATTAGGATTTGCTTAGGATTTGGTTTAAAACTTGTCTAAAGTTTATTTAGGATTTAGAAATTCATTAGGATTTTATTAGGATTTGACCTAATATTTTATTAAGGTTTAATTAAGATTTCAATTAGAATTTCAATTAGGATTTGACTTAAGCTTTTATTAAGATTTAATTAGGATTTTAATTAAAATTATATTAGTTTTTTTATTTTTAGTATTTTTTAGGATCCGTTGTATTTTTTTTGTAACTTCTTTTAAATTTATTTCAATAGGTTAAAGTTTGATTGGATTATTAAGAATTACTTAAAGCTTATTTAAGGCTTTATTAGACTTGGTAGATTTTTTGTTGCATTGTTACTTATCTTCCACAATTATGTGCCCAGTGCATTTTCAAGCAAGAATATACATAATACATCAATATTCAAGCATTGATTTATATTAGAACAAGTTCTTATTATATTGTTGCTTGAAATAGATTTAACATCCTACTAAATCAATATAATAGCCTTCAATTTTTGACAAAACTTTAACACAAGTAATAGTTGTGAAAATAAAAATAAAATTGATTATCTTTCTTTTTCTTTTTCTTTGCTAGCAATCAGCAATAATAGAGCATCATCTTCACAATTTATTGGATTTTTTTATCTCTTCATCAACAATAACATTATCATTAGTCGTAGCAATAGCTATAGCAATAATAATATTAGGTGGCTCATTGCAAATTCATCCTAAATCTCATCTTGAATGAAAAGAACTTTGATCCAAATTTTGTACATAATGTAATTACTTTTACCATCAATTTTGTCAACTTTAGCGAAAAAATTAGCAATCTTCATCATCTAAAATATTAGTAATAAAAATAAATAAATAAATAAATAAATAAATAAATAATAAAAAGAAAAAAATATAAAATATAAAAATACAAAAAGTGATTAAAAACTAATCTTTGATACAATAAATATGAATTATAAACTTAAATAATAATAATCAATTTAAAATAAAAATAAAATGGAATCTAATCCTAAGACATACAAAAATATTAATTGGTAAAAAATAATAAAAATAAACAATATAAGAAATTTTGAGATCTAGTCTCTAAACAACCTAACTTAATTTAAAATAAAACATGTGATACTCAAGTTAACTTAAAGGATAGTACAATGAGAAAAAATTATATGATCTAATATCATGATGAATACTTAGGCATACATGGTTTAGATTAATTAAGACATCAAAAATCTTAACAACCTTGGAAGTTAGATTAGTAGTAGCCCTAAAGATATGACATGACTATACCAAATCAATCCTAACTAATCTAATGGTGTTGCTATAGTCTAATCTATTTTGCACTAAAGTTGGTTGACATTAAAGAGCCATAATACTTGGTGGCATTGTTCCATGTAGTTGAAATTTACAAACTTTCTTGGCCTTATAGTATTATAGATATACATATTTACTCTAATAATTATCTAGATGATATGAATGGATAGAAGTATGTAGATGTAGATAGATTTGATAGTATCTCATGGAAAAGCTACCTAGACTTGGATTTATTTCACTATGTATTTGTAGGTGATTTGTAGGTTGAAAACTTTCACAACAAGTTAGCCTCAAATTACTCATGTTAGCCACTTGTGGTATAAGTTGCACATGTAGCATACATATAAAAAACTTACCTTCTAAATTAGACATGTGACTTATAAGTTAGACAAGTATTAGAAGTTTTATAGAATTTTGCCACATAGCTCCTAATTAGATAGTACATACAAAGATAAGAGTAAGGCCTTCTTCACGCTTATCAATTCATTTTTTGCTTCTTGTCTAGTTTTAAGAGTTTTTAATTTCTTAGTTCTTGGCAATAGTCAATTCAATTTTTTCTTGAATGTACATATTCATTATTTTTATTTTTATTTTTTGTCATCTTTCTTTAAAAAACATATGATTTGGTTATTTACATTCTTTAAATTCTTGTCCTTGACACATAGTATCAAAATCAACAGATAAGAAAAATCATAAATTCTTTGTTTTTCCTTGTTGCTGTAATATAGATATATGCAAAGAAAAAAACATTGATTCAAATGAAAATATAGAAAGGTTCTTAGTGTAATTAGTATACAAAGTTAGGCAAAAATCTTAATCATATTTTGTAACTAATGAAGATATTGTTACTTTTCTAAGTTAGCATTCACTTTTTGAATTAATAATGTTATTCAATGTATCGACTCTTTCATAGTTTAGTACATAGAAACAACAATATTAGCTATAGGGACTATGTATCATATCGCCAATGGAAAAACACCTTGGTCTAGCATTTCCTATCTAAGTTAATTTGTTTAGATAGCTTTTAGAAACAACCAAAAAGGATTTGGACCACTTCACATCTTCAAATGCCTTTGTGTTCAAAATTCATGGCTCTTCCAATACTTGCATGTTGTGAGTAGATGAGGAAGAAAGATAAAAGAGAAGGTGGTGCAAAGTTTGTATTTAAGGCCAAGGTGAAAGAAACGGAAGCACAACCTTCTTATGCCCCAATTTTTGAAGATAAGGATAATAATTCAAAATAAGACTAAATAAGAATTTTGGTAACAATGTAGGTAGTTGCAAAAAGTACATTGTGATGTACAACTTAAGTTTAAGACAATTTGTGTTGGCATGTGATAGATGATAAGTTGTGGTGATTATAACAAAAATTGTAGTAACAATAATAACTCATTATATATATTTATTTATTTTTACAAAATATTTTTAAATAATTATATTATTCTACTTTTAAAATTAAATAATACCAAATAAATATTTTTATTTTAAATTACATCTCAATTAATTCACATCTTAAAAAATCTTTAATTTTTTATATCTTACAAAAACTTTGTTTCTACTTTTATGGATTTATATTTTCATATGTAAGAATGACAATTCAAAACCTAAAAACCTTTTAAGACTATATCTCAACAATGATACCTTTTTATTTTATTTTATTTTTGTAATAAATTAGAATAATTATTATTTATAAGACTCTAATGTCAAAAGATATGATATGCACTTGACCAAAAATTACAATACCTTATATTTATGTTTTAATATAAGAGAAATACATCTGAGATCTTATCTCTTTGAACATTTTAGAAAAGTGATTAGCAACTATTAATATCAATTTCTACAATCTTTTTTTGTGTTCAGAAAATAAACATTTTTTTAGTATATAGTTATATTAAACACATCTTCAATCTATAATATGTCAACATATTAAGTATTAAATAGTATTCTAAAATTAAATATTTAATATACAAATATTTATTACATATATTGTATAAAATTTTAATAAAATCAAGAAAAGAATTATGATAATTATGTTTCTACTTTAAATCAAATATTTTTTGTATTTTGATAATAATGATTACAATACAAATTTGTTTTTTTAAAATTGTTAGTAAATTAGTTGATAAAATGTTCTTCAACTATTTTGATTGTAAGCAAATCTAGAAATTAGTAATAACCCCAATTAGATGCTGTGTAGAATTATAGAGGTTTTTTTCACTTAGAGAAGGCAAGTGGCCACAACTTTATAATTACTTAATTGGCTGGGATTCACAAGCCACAATTATTAAGCTATAGACTCAGTAAAATTGGCCCAAGTATGGGCAAGAATGCTTGTTTTTTTTACATAACATTGACTCTGTAGTATGCCCAACTCAAAGATGATTTTATTTCTAACAAATCATGTCAGAAAAATCTACAAATAACTAAAGAAAACTAACAAATCAAATTCTTTGTACTTTTCATAATTGTTAGAAACAACATATCTACTTACACATTTAGATTCATATTAGAATACAATTTGATTCATTTTGTGACCTCTTCATTATTTTCACAATTTCCAGAGATCAAAATTTCCAAAAACAATTCTGCACCCAAAAAACAATATTTGAAAGACTTTTGAACCATGACCTCTAGATTCTACAAACCCCCTACGTATGTTCATGTGGAACCAAAATAGAGTTTTTCTTTCATTTTTGCAACAAATTAGCTTAGAACAGGTAGACAAAAACAAAACAAAAACCATGACACACACAAACAAACAAAAAAAGTAAACTAAAATAAAAAGCAGAAGAAAGCCTATTCCATTTGCTAATTTGGAATCTAAAAGCCAAGCATGTTGCTGAGGAACTAAAAAGGAAAGTCTACTGTATTGTGGTGTGAATAATCTCGGAGGTTACCAGAGGAGTCAATAGAAAAAGACAGTCTGCTACGTAAAATAAATATAAAATTAATATCAGTGCTTCCGGTTGTTCCGGCGCTCATTTGGATTCCGGCGACCACTAAAGACTGCAGATGCTTGTTGCACTGCCGGCATCAATCCTATGTTCTGCATCCCTTTGTTGTTTGTGAATAGTGTGTCCGCAGTCACATACACATCACCACCCTGTCATGAACAAGAGATCACGTGATACAGACGACTTCAATCAGTACCAACATACTTAACCAGGCCAGCCATACTAATGTTCTTTTGTTTCTAAAATGGATGTTCTACAAACTTCATTAAAGCAAAAATACCATTAGGCAAACAATCCGGTTCTTACCTACGATATATCCAATGCTAAGACAACTAGGAGCAAGTAATTAGCTGGGAATAATTGAGCGAACGGGTCGCAAAACTGAGAAAAAGAAGAGATTCTTACCGCGTGAGAAGATTTCTTCTGTTTAGGATACAGGACCCTGTGAGGCAGTTGATCTTCCCGTAAAATGGGATTCTGGGCAGCTCCAATCCTACCACCCTTGGGCATAGGAAGTGAATACTGCACCCATCATGAAAAGAATGTATGAGTGAAAAGAGAATCACGACGTGTAAATAAAGCTACAAATATCTGGGTGTTACAGATTGCAGGGCAGAAGGCGATTAGAGGAACAGACCCGAGTGCCACGAATGTTCACACGCTTAATTTTTCCAGCGTGAACGGTGCCGTTAGCTCCCACAGTAACAGACACCTTGTACAAAGTGCCTCCATTCCCACACTTGGGACAAAAGATGCGCCCCACCTCAGCCGTGATGTTATTGCAAGCCGTACATTTAAGAACCCACCTACAAAAAAAAAAAAAAAAAAAAAAAAAAAAAAATGAAGAGGATTATTTCGGAAAACCATAACCACATATGATCCACCAAGTATCCCAAAGCAACCAAGAAATGTCGAGCCTAATCCGATACAGTAATTAACTTCAAAGGTGTAAGCATTTAACAGCTTACATGAAAAAATAAAAATAAGAAACGGTTACACTTACCTGTTCAATTCACGAACATGGGCTCCATTAGGCGAGAGTAACCGCAGACCCATTTGAAGTATGACGTTCTGCATGGCGAAATCTCCAGTCGCACAGGCAACCGAGGATTGCCACGATGAATCTCTCTTTTCAGCTTCTGTAGATCGTGCTACGCCATTAGCATCGCTAATCGCACTACTCTCATTTTCATCCGTCTGCAAACCCTCACCTGAGGCTGCATGTGCAGCCATTTCTGCTTCGAAGGCTTTAGTATCATCCTCTTCATCACCTTCGTCGCCTTCGTCACTATCAGACGCTCCTTTTCCCTCGTCTGCCACCTTAGCACTCTCTATTTCTAGATTAGCGGTTGCTCCTTCGTCCTGTTCTTCACCTGGGTCAGTGTCACCTTCGTTCTTAATACACTCCTCGGTCAGATCTTCGACATCCTCATTTTCGTCCTCATCAAGTAGGGGCGGAGGTACGACTTCCCCTTCAAAGAATGATCTCTGAGGTTGTACATCCATCTCAGTGGGGTGATGATCCCCCGCAACAGAGGATGATTCTGATAAAGCCGCCGCCTTGGCTTCCCGCTTAGCTTGTCGCTTTAGAAATTTGTTCCGAGTAGTCCTGCTACATGCGTGCACCCAACCAGAGGTATCCGCTTCGGCTAATTCCGATTTAGACGCGTCCAATCCGACTGCAACATTTTTCTTACCCTCAATGCTGATGGTGGGCTTGAGCTTTGGCGCCTTAGGCTCTCGTTTTGACCACCCCCCACGTCCCTCGGAATTAGTCTCACCTCGCGAACTAGCACGTGCAGTAGAAGGAATCTCTGACTCGTTTGAACCTGGGTCTGAAGGTAAATTAGCACTCTCAAGTTCAACTACTGGTGAGGAGTTTCCCGACTCCGACCCATCTAAATTCAAATACTTCAATCCAAGGATTCTTGACTGGTTGATCTTGGATTGACTTTTCTCCGCCTCCTCCAACTCTTCCCATTCCTTCAGATTAGGAACATTTGAACCCCAGCCAAGCGGTTCACGTGGCTTATTTTTCAGCACAGGCGTCACCTGTGGCACCCCCAATCTCCACACTTTAGATTCTCCATAAGTTCAATCAAGAAGAATTAAAAAAATTGGTTGAATTTATTTAATCATACTCTGCAGCACAAGGAAGTGGGCATAATATACTAACCTAATATCGACAAACCTAGCAGAATTCGATGCACTAATTGCTGATGTTTGAGAAATTGAAGATTTAGGTAGTATGGTGGACCTGCAGAGGAGGTGGGCGTGTTCGAAGGTGTGATACACCATGAATCTGAGACTCCAAAGTGTAAGCTAGAGCTATAAGTTTCGTATCTACTTCTGATAGTGACTGCAAATCACCAGTCGCCTTCGCAAATCGCACCACTACAAATAAAATAAAAAACGAACATGGTCACCGACTGTAGCAACTTTGTAATGAGTAAAAAGCTACTAGATTGAATCAACAGTCCTCCATGACAGCCTTCCGCAACCTCAAAGAGAAGACTCTCATCGACGACGCGAGCTGACAAAGTTCGCGAACTAGAGCAGTGGCAACACCACAGGTTTGAGGATTAATTGACCAATTCCCACGAATACAAGCTCGCACTCACCTTTGGTAACAGCTTCCGGGTCTGGCTCCATGATTTCCAATTTTATAGGCAAAGCTGCCAGGTTCATACGCGACATCGGATCTCGCACCTCTTTCAGCACTTCCCGCATCGTCACAAATCGCTCAGCAATTCCCACAAGATGCATACCACTCCCAATAACTGCGTTGGTATCCACCACAACGGTGTTCAAGCCGCTCTTACAGCGCACAGCGCTTGGTTCAACCTTCGCCTTCACAGGCACCACCGCATCCTTCCTGGCTATGGCAGACCAAGCTCCGGCCGCTGGTGGCGGTGCATCCTCGCTACCCATCGCAGCTAATCTCCACCAGGAAACAAAATAAAAATAAAAATAAACCTACAATACAATTGACTCCGGTACTTCAAATTTCAACCCAGATTGCAAACTGCCATGCGTCCCAGGTCCTCCCACAGCCAGAGGAGCTACGAAAATCGTGAGAATGAATGCCCTATACCCTAAACCCTTCAGGGACCAAAAACCCTAATGCAGGGCACTGAGTGCCGGTTTGGACCATCACCACTTTGAGTAATGCCCCAGGTTCATCCATTGGATGGATTAAAATTGGATGAACGCAGGCACTGAGAAGGCTCGAGGTGCCTCTGTTAATGTGCCTTCCTGTGGGCAGCACCTTTGAGAACAATTACTAAAAATTACATTACAATAAATTTATATTTTTAAAAATTATATGTATTTATGGTATGAAACAAAATGAAAAAAGAGTATAGTACTCAAAAACTAAGGAATGTCAATTAGTATTTAAATATGGTTTCTTTGAAGATATTTAAGATTTTTTAACTATTTATTCCTAATTTATCTTAAATAGAGTGTGTTCATATTCTAATTTATGAATTTTAATTTTAAAAATAAAAAAATATTTTATTGTTCATTTTTCCATGGTTTAAGTAGCCTACTTATACTATTCTTTATATTATAGTATACGTAGCCTATTCTTTGTGCAGTATTGACAATGAAAAACAAAGAATTAATATAACTCAAGAAGGTATAGATTTTTTTCTATTTAATTTTCTTGTAGTTCAATAAATGATGATTTAAGTAAGGATTGAATTTTTCCATATATATTAATAAATATCTTGATTGAGAATGTTTTAATTGAGTAGTCTTTCACTTCTTCACTCTTAGTTCTTTTGTTGATTTAGTAATAGAATTTATTCTCTTGAAATTGTTATCACTTGTTTTAAAAAGAAAAAATTTAAGACAAATATCATCATCCAAACTATAAAAAAAAATCAGTATTTTGAATGCATCTATGATAATTCAATAATTAAAGTTATTCTTATAACATTTATTGAATGTATTTTCTTTTCTTTTCATGAAAGTGTTTTATAATAAATGCAATATTTACACAATAGATAATAAAATATACACATAACAAATCATTATTGGTAATGTTTAAAGATAAATTGTCTTCTTTTTATTTTAGTTTTTATTATTTTTAAATGTAATTTAAAATACAATAAATATATATATACCTATATACATACAAAAATATATACATGTACATACTCCAAGTCTTGCAAAGTTTGAATTATATTTACTGTTGTTAGATAAAGTAAAACACATTCTAATTAAATGACATATTTTAGTTATATCTAAATAAAAATACATGATCCAAAAAGTTATTCATATATCTATTCATATATGTTTTTATAAATATATAAACATATACAATTTTGGTTATTTTTTATAAAAATATAAATCCTAAATTTCAAAATTAAAATAACACTCAAAATTAATCATATAAAAAATTTATAATATTATATTATAACTAATTAATTTATGCATTTACGTAATAATGATACACAATCGCATATTAATGATATACAATCACATAGTAATACACAATCACATAGTAATACACAATCACAAATAATCTAAGATGATTATGTATACACATTAGATTTGGATTATTTATATAAGATATTAGCAATGTTTCAATTGGGATGTTTTGATCTAACATCGTCAGTTCATATAACCAATTCGTACCAAAATTTCTCCAAAAAGTAGTCCCAATACATTTATTATCTAATCAACAAATACTATTTGTTATCAGCTGAAGAATTTATGTTTTTAAGAATCTATCAACTTCTCAATTTGCCACACATTTCTTAGAAATTCCTTTGTCCGTGTCATTGCCTTGGTTGTTCACCTTTCATATATATATATATATATATATATGGCTTGAATTTGCAAACTATTTTGTAATAACTGTTGGTGCATTGAAGAAGATTGAATAAAAATTTGGAATGTCTACCAAGGGTAAAGTTAATTTTTTCAAATGAAATGATTTACTTTCAAAACCTTTCACAGTGTGTCAGTAATTTTTTGTTCCAAAAGAATGGTTCAGTGAGAATTTTTTCCCAACAAGAAGAAATGTAATTTTTTACTTCCTTACTGACAACTCAGGTTCAATTCCTATGTCCAGTGTGACTACTTGGAATCTACCTATATAAACAAGATCCGTAAGACAGGAAACCCATCGTATGTTAAGATCATTCACATTCCAACACGGAGCACATTGCATCGGTCAAGACAGATTCACAGTATACAGTAAAATGAGGGGTGGATTCACACAAGCTGTGCTTTGCATGGTGGTGCGGAAGCTCCCTGCACTGACAGAGGACTTTGCAAAGTATTGAGAGAATTTGGGAACTTGGAGAGGCAGTTGCAACACAGTTTGCAGAAACGAATCAGAAGATTGTATGGGAATAGAAGTCAGACCTGGTTGAAGAGACTGCAACCGGTAGATTGACTGTTTTGTGAGTGATGATTCCTGTGACACTTCAGTGGAACGGTCGTAGAATGAAGCTGAAATATAAGGGTCATGGAGGCGTAGATGAGATTTAGGTGAGGCAAACGCGTCAAAACTCCCGTTCTGCAGTTAACTATCCTGTGCAGTTGATGTTGCCAGATACAACTGGATATACAACTGAATGTACAACTGGACTGTTCTAGTTGCAGGATAGTCCTCTAAGTTGCTAATAACTGTGTTCTACGTTTGGGAATATCGTCAATAAGCACAAATCACTACCGTTGTTAAGCACGTACGAGGATTGGATTATCCCGTTTCAGCATTCGTTGATGAAGATAATATGCACTGCTGTCGCCGTAGCTACTTCTATGGAACATTACTTCAACTCATACGTCAAGATTTTAAGCAACTGAAATTCTTGACAGGCTCTTCACCAAGCCCACACAAATATCCAGGGGTTTCGCAAGGAGCGTTCCTCCATGCGGTGTCGAGGCCCGTGCCGTTGGTTGAACCTCCCAGGCAAAGAGTTCCCACGATCCTGACAAGTCTGGCAAAGATCGTACCCACAACTTTCCGGACAGTCCAGACAGTGAAATCGTCTGCCAAGAATGGGCATCATGCCACACCCGTCGCATCCAACGTTCTGATGAATCGGGTTCTGCGTAACGCCAATTTCCTCAGGATCATCCGCTGGCTGGGACCTCCATGATTTCATCTGCATCTTCGCCTTATCGCTGCTCTTCACTTCCTCGCTTCTCAACTTGTAGTCTTTCGGAAACTCCCTCTCCATGTACTGCTCCAGCTCCACACATACCTGCGGAAAGGCGTCTGGATGGTAGACACCGCAGAAACGGCAGCTGTTGGTTGGACCGGACGCGGCGCATGTTTGGCACATGAGGTGGCCGCAGTTCATAGCCACCGGCTTGTAGAGCATTTTCTTGCAGATCTTACAATTTATGGCGGCTTTGCGCCCTAAGGAAGATGAGTTTGGGGGGATTTCAGGAGAGTAAATATTCTGGTCGTGCTCTTCAGCTGAAATCTCTTGAGTGCGGGATTGGTACTCGCTAGGATTCACGAGTTGAAGGAGGTGGTGGAGCTGGGGTGAGATCCGAGGGATGTGGACATAAGATTTTTGACAGACGGGGCAGTGAGAGACAGTGGAAGTATTCATGGAGCGGTGGACGCACCAGAAACAGAACATATGGCCGCATCCTTGGACCACGGGCTTGTAGCTTAACTCCAAGCAAATTGGACAGATGAATGTTTTCCCTGCCTCTGACATCGCCACCGATTCCGCAACAAGAGTATGCTAATTGATCTCGAGGAAAACAAAATTTAAACAAACAAATATGTGAGTGGTCCGTCCTCAACCGTCCTTAGAGTTGATGCATGTAATCATTTGAATCAATGTTACGAAGTGCTCGACAGTAATCTGAATCTGGAGGCACACAAGAGAACTATCAGCTCATGAAAAATGGAATTGTAGAACTACGAGTTTTGCAACAGGGAGTGGTTCGTGTACAGAGATCAGTTGCCACCAGAATCAGGAGTGAAGGATGAAGCAATCACTACGAAGAGGCTTGTACTGCGACAATCAGGAGCTGAAAGACCAAAAAGCTACAATTTTTTGTCAATGCAAGAAACCTGTACTCTTTCACCTAATTAAGCAACTAGCAACCCTCATTTTGACCTCCTTTCATGTCTAGTCAATCGACTCGATGTCTCCATTCTGTACAAGAGTCAGTCTGAAAACTTCTAAGCAAGATTATCCTTATGCATTTTGATCGTCAAGATTCCCACCAATCCAATTCCCATGTTTCCGATTCCTGTGTTCGTAAAATCGTCTCGAGGAAACCTACATTAAATAGTACCGTCAACCGTGGAAACAATTCCAAGAATATAAATCAGCCAATCTCTGGAGCCCTACTCAGAACCACACTTCCGCACAGCCATTAAAAGACCATTCAACAGACCTAAACTCAACCTCCTCCCACTCTCTTCCAAAAATTTCTTCAGATCTGCCGGACACAATTTCTTCATTTAAAATATTCCACAAAAAAGCCAGACGACAAAAACAACTTCATCACTGAATATCCAATTATTGACCCAAAATAGATTCCCGAATATTTCGATTCTAAATCTCTGCACATGCTGAACATACTGAGTCCACACCTTTCCTTCTCGTTGCGATTTTCTCTATTCCTGGTTTCTTCACGCCATTGCCACACGAGATTGTTTGAGACCTTGCACAGACCCCTCAAAAGCACCCAACACAACACAACAAGAGTGCTCAATTGTGATATGCGCAATGCAGGTGAAGTTTCGGTAGCTGAATGAACTATGATTACTACAGAAACAATCAAATTCCTAATTTGCGAGGTTATGCAATTGACTGCCGACCGATGGAGCGAGCAGAGCTGCGAGACGATGCGAGAAGAATACGAAAACCCTTCAGGCCGCGAAGCTCTTGTACTGCGAAGATGGAGATTAATGATATTTAATACATGGATGAATGATCAAAGTCATCAACACTAACGTAGTCGTGTCGTCCTGTATTTTTCGTCCACATCCAGTCAAGTCGCCGTCGTTGTGATCAAGTCGTCGTGCCTTTTTCGTCCAAGTGTGAATGTCAAACTGATTGATCCTTTTTACTTTTACTTTTTTTCTGTTTCTCCTTCTATCTTTTATTCTTATAAGTTATCACAAGAATGATTTTCTAGTTTCAGTCTTTTCAGTATTGATATGAGATGGTTTTGGTTGCACTTTGAAATCACACATTATACATGTGAGTGCAACTGAAACAAACACTGTGTCATTTGTGTGATATTTCATCAGCATTGTGTAGTTATCAAACAGAAATGAAATTTAGATTCTGTGAAATGTATATTAATTGTTAATTGAAAATTTATGATGACTATTTCAATCTTAAAGAAACGAATAAAAACGAATAACATTGGATACTTCAGCATATTGTTTACGTATCGTATTTTATTATCAAAAGTGACTACCTTGGTTATCAACATTGATTCTGGCATGTTGGACATTTAATACATACATATAGGACACAAAAAACCCACTTACAATAAATCAACTCCAAATTATATATCTTTATTTGTATATATATATATATATATGTGTGTGTGTGTGTGTGTGTGTATGTATGTACGTATGAATGTTGCTAAAAATGTTTAAATTTTATTATCTAACTTATCTACATACACAAATGCACACACACACAAGAAGAAGAAGAAGAGGAAAATAAAAAGTATGGACACAAATATAAACCAGTACTTTTTTTAGCACAGAAATGGGTCTTGCAAAATTCAGTCACCTTCCCACTTCGATGGCATTTCATTGCTTTCAGACATTTCTTCAAGCTTTCATATTAAGTCTAGTTAACATTCTCCTACGTTGAAAAACATGTCTCGTGAAGAAAAACGAACACTCTACTTAACACAGTGAAAGTAATTCTTCCGATCATAGAAAAAAGGCTTCATCTTTGTTCCTCATCTCTAACTCCGTGTTTTCTGTCTCTCGTGTAAACCCATTCCTCATTCCTCTTTGCTTGTGCATGTGTGTGTCTATGAGAATGAAGTGAGCAACAGTGGAGCTTAGATCTGAATGAGAGCGACTGGTTGTGTGCGAGGGGTGGTAAGGTCACCCGGGACTAGAGAATGTAGTAGGTGTTGATTAGTCACCCCATTGCAGATAAGATCTGCAGTAGGGGAGTAGCTTGCCTCCCATGGGGTCCATGCACTCGCACAGCCCTCGACCACGTCCACCTGCGGCACTCATCTTGAAAGCATCATCACAAGTCCACCGTCGGCACCCCAAAAGCAGGAAAAAACACACACACACACAAACTTGAGGCACGCAACAGAACAAACAGCACACTCGCTCTCTCTCGGTTTTCACGCTTCCTCTTTTCTCTTTTAGTATAAATATCGTATTTTTGCTTTTTTTTATTGTATGATTTGCAGCTTTTTCGGTGCGATGGAAAAGAGGAACCTTTGCATTGTGGGTTGATTGATGGATTGAGGTCAACAACTGGAAGGGCGGCGTTGGTTCCTGGTCTTTGCGCATGTTGAAGACTGGTCGTGGTGGAGGATCTCCACCGCGATTTCAAGCGAGGGCTTGGACGGCTCTTTGAAGGCGATGATTTCCCCGTGCACGCCACAATCTGCAGGTTTCTTATCTAGACCTCAAGATCCGAGAGGTGGACATCGTCTGTGAACATCCCTGCAGTCTCTCAGTGTACAGCACAATCGCGGCAGAAAATTCCAGGCCTTGAGTAGCGGTTGTCTTCGGAATGGGCACCTCACAAAACTCTCAAAGTTGTAGTTTTAATAATGATGTGTGGGTTTTGAAGGCGATTTTCACCTCTAGTCCAGAGCATTAGAAATAATGAAAAGCTTTTCTTATAAATCTTAGATTTTCTCCCACCCAAATTCTCTTTATTAATAACCAATCTAACACGGTTTGGACTCTATCTAAAGGACAATGTAAGAGGACTATCTAGGTTCAATGAATTACACTCATTTTTGAAGGTGAAGAATGGAGCAATCATCACACACAAAAGATGATATAGAATAATTTGATAGAACATGATGAAAAAATGTCCCAAAAAATCACTTACAACAAATGAAAAAAACAACACGACAACTACAAAAACATTCACCAACAAATGGGACAAACCTTTGGATGACCAATAATATGTTATAGACCAAAACCAGTTTGAAAATTACATGAAACTCCAGAGTTTCTCATGGTGACTTGATGGTGCATGAAGGTTAATGTTAGACTTTTGGGTGTGATTTGTATTTCCGTGTGCTCTTGCTATGGGATCTGTCTTGCCCACAGAGAGTAAGGACCTCAAGAATTAAGACCTCAGGCACTCTGTAAGCTGTTTTCTATAAAATATAATGTATCAAGTAATTTCCAATTTCTGTAAAAAAAAATTACAAAATACAAAATAAACAAAATAAACAAAAAATACAAAACAACGTTCACACAACCTTGCTATGTTTTTGCCTTCCTTACCTGACTAGTCTCACAGCAACCACATTATTGAATGAATTCTAGGATTCTATCTAAATAAAGAAACTAACATAATTGAACCTCAACAGTACTTGCACCTTCCTTTCAATCAGGAGGAACCCATTTTGAGTTGGGTGTGTCCCCACCATTCTTACTTTTCTTCGAGATTTGAGATTTTCTATTTTTATTCCAGTTCTCTAAGAAACCTTTTAATACACAATTTCATTCTGTCTGTTGAAAAATCCATGTTTTTTAAACACCTCACTATCTTGGATTGCCATGCATTCAAACCACATTTTCTGATTTTGAGAGATCAAATTCGAGATATTTAATTCTAACCCAGAGAAATCAGATTCAAAAACGGAAAGGCAGAAAGTGAGCCCTGTTGTAAAAGTTGAGCTCAACATCGACAGCAATCAACTGGACTAAGAATCAGGAGGGTGCATGATTGAACAAGTCTATAAAGTGACATAGCCAGCATTCAGGCTATCAGGATTCCAAGGACCCGATCAGGATCGCTTCCAGAATGTGGGGTGGCTTGATGTGTGCTGCTGCTGTTGAGCCGAGCCGAGCCCTGCAGGGTCGCATGTGTGCGTGTGCAGTCTAGAAACACTGCTTTGATGTTGCGGTCAGATCACAGCAGAGTGTTGTGATAGAGGCGGTCTCCTTTTTTTCTTGTTTGCTCACCCAGCCGACTTGTTTTGCGAGACTTGTTCAAAAGGACAAGTTTCAAGGCCAGGTTATGGACATTGATGAGGCCAAGGTGAGAGACCCTTATTGTGATTGCACCGCACTCTGCCAACCTTTTGTTGCCTTGCTTCGTATTACAAACATCATCAGCGCAGTGCCATTTAGATTCGATTTCCTGGCGAGAGACCATGGAATCATTCAACCAGCTTGCACAGAGGACTTGTCTCTGGTTCTAAGTAAACAACAAACAAACAAACAAATAAATAAAATGGGCCTTTTCTGGGTCATGTAGCTATGAATCACAAGGTAGAGGAGTCAAATTGTTTGTATCTGGTTGCACTGGTCCATGTTTTCTAGCTGCTTCCTGATGCATGGGTGTGGTTTGTTTAAGCCCTCATCACAGATTTGCATGCTTGTCTTGTAGCCAATTCACTTTCTTCCTTTGTTCATCATCTGTTAATGTAAAGACTTATTATTGTGATAAATTGAGATAAAATTAGTGGAAACCAATGTTGTTGGCCACAAAAAATATTTACTGAAGATTACAGTAGGAAGCTTCCTATCTTGCAGTGCTACTCTTGGCAATCTGTAACAACAACATAGAGATTTTGATCTCTAATTGATCAAAAGTTGAGTTATTGTTTCACTTTTGATGAAAACAACGAGATATGCAGCTAATCAGAGATGGTTTTTGTCTCCTTTGGTTTATCCCTTGAGTTGTTTTATAGAAGAGATTGATTGTTGGCACATCGGTATTGGTTTTGGTACCCATAGTAACATCCTGATAAACAAAGTGAAGAAAATTTAAGTCTTCATTTTATTTTTTTATCTTTATTTGTTTTCATTAAAGTCAAATAATCAAAAAACTATCTAGATGTAGTATTAAAATCATTAATATATTAGTGACCAACATAATCTCATTTGATTTATTTATTTTTGATATGATACATTGAATGTTTGTTGAATATCATTTTAAAAACACATCAATTTTATTTAATCAAATTCAACATACACAAAATAACATAAAATTATAATTAACATCTTCATTATTTTTCCTTTTATTAAAACACATAAATGCTTATCAAGACTCCAAAATATTCTTATCAATAATACCAACATTATTGGACAAGAATGTAAGAGACAACTTACCTTCCAACAATGTTTGATAAAACCAATGAATGGGGTTTTCAGAATGTTGTGGTGCATTAGAGAGGGCAGAAGATGAGGAGAGAATTTAAGCAGGGAAAACTAAACACAAGGAATCCACTTGGGACCAAAGCAACTTTCCTCCAAATGCCACCCTCGAATGGAGCCAACTAGAATTACAAAAACTAGGATTCTACATTTGGTATTAAACTTGGGTTCAAAGTAGCTGGCCACTGCAACCTCTCTAACCCATGTAAAAAAAAAATAACAAATTAAAATAACACAAATTTCTTGCCCTATCCAGGACTTTACATTTGTCTCAAAGTTACAAAACTCTTTTGTAGGACATTTTCAACCACATAGCTTTCTCACAGTAGAGAGCATGACCCTGTCATGTGGTGGTGGCTTTGCACATGGAAGGCTGCTGCTTGTGTTGCTTACTGGGTCCACAAACTGTGGGTGTATTTGTAAATGAACATATGATAATAGTGAATGAATGAACACAGGGAGAGAGAGGCACTGGGTCCAAAAAGGATTCTAACTGCTTCAAGGACATGGAGACCCTACCATCTTGTGCCCCCTCTCATGCTCAAAGTCTAAAGGGGACTATGATGCTTTGAAGGACAAGAATCTAAAGGGGACTATGCTTTGCAGTGATTGATAGCCTGCTCATCACTTACAAAGCCCAAAATTATATGTCTGTATATGTATATGTTGCTTATATAAAACAATTCAGGGAGATAAATTGATGGGATAAATCAGAGGAGACAAAAACTTTCTTTGATTGACTGCATATTTTATTGTTTTCATCAAAGGTGAAGCAATAACTCAACTTTTGATCAATCAAAGAACAAAATCTGCCTGTTATGGACTTCAAATAGCCAAGAGTAGCACTGCAAGATCACTAGATGTCAAGATATGTTATATATATATTCGTTTTAGATATGGTGAAAGGTCAAAGAATGAGCTAGTGATGCCTTCTGCACCATGGATCCTAAACCCCATTGGGTCTTTGGCTGCCGGCCCAGAGGATTGTTCCAAGGTTGTCAGAATATGTGTGCAGGTGAGTGGCTGGATGTGTATTTCAAGTTGCTTCAATACATCACATCATTGTTTTAAACATTTTATAAAATTTTATACATTAATATTTTTACATGGATGTTATAACTAATGCATATTTTAAACTTCAACTTGATACATTACTCAATTTGGATTGACTTTTTGAGAAATACATGCTCTCACATTGCATGTTGTATACAAGTTGTCACATTTTTATAAAATTTAAATCTATTTGGAATTTATTTAGAAATTTTACAGAACTGGTTTGTAGAGATTTTTGTTAATATACATGGTGGTAATATATATGTATATTTATTTTATTTACTTTTGCAATAAATTAGAATAATCTTCCACAACATTTTTTTAATTTTCAAATTTTAATATAAATGGAATGGAACTTAAAATATCCTCAATTTCTTCAAATGTTTTCTTAGACTCTGTTGATTTTGTGAATTTTGATTATATATATGACTCTGTATAGTTATTTACTTTATATCTTGTGCTATACTATTTTATTTTATTTTTTTCCTTTCTTCTGTGTTGATTTTTATATTTTATTATTTATTAATATAAAAAATTAAGAGAAAAAAATACCAATACATATATTTAAATATATATTATGAGGTTAAACACAACATTCTTTTAGAAATAATGGTATTCTAATTATTGATCCTTGTTGTTGTTATATCAAACACATAAGTTATGATTCAAAAGAAATAACAGATTTTTCTCATAATATTTTTCTTAAAATAAGTTCTTGTTTATATCAAAAGCTTTCAAAGAGCCACCAAAGATTTATTGTATATACATAGGTTCTTAATTGATTACTTTTGATTTACTACTAATAATCCAAATAATTTTTTTAATCATGGCTGTTTTGTTGTGTATTAAATAAAAATTCTGAACATTTTTTTTATCCTTCATAGTACCTTGAAGCTATTTACCATAATCGTTGTATTCAAGATCTGATTCAAGCAAATTAGATGTCTCTGAAAAAGAATTAAATTAAATGAAATGAAATTGAAAAACAATAAGTAGAAAATAGAAATCAAATTTAGAAGGTGATTACTTTTTTTAATGTTAAAATAAATAGTTTATATATATATATATATACATATTTAACTTTGTTATGTTTGAGAAAGAACATTTTTGGAGGTTGGGAGGATAAGAAGTGTTTGTGGACGTGTTCAAGATTATTTTAGTTTATATAATTTAATTCGAATTCTAAGCTTTTTTAAAATTTTATATTTTAGTTTTTGAAGGTTTTGGTCAGAGGGAAGACTGAGATTTTTGTCAAAAATATATTTTATTAAAGAAATTGGAGAAATCCCAGCTGGTTAGTGCAAAACTCTGTGGTGCACTAACCTACTGCTCCACACTAAAGTACACCAATAAATTTGCCACAGAAAATAAGAACATCTCTGTTCAATTTCAGCATATAGCACAGATCAGAATCACACAAATACAATGGATCTCACCAACCCTGTAGTTCCAATATCTGACTCATTGTGGAAGACCATCAAACAAACTAAATCTTAGAATTTCGTAAATGTAAGGACATGGTTGGATTAGACTACTATGGTTTGAAAGTGATGTACTAAACCCTGTTATGTGAGCTACCACAACCAGAGCCAGTGGATGGTATATGTACCAACTAAAATAACCAACCAGAGGAAGCAACAAGTGAGAATCAGCATGGTTTGTGTGACATCACAACAACATGCAAGGTGGTCATGAGCCTAAACTGCTAAAGCACAGGCTTGGTACTTATGGCAACATCAGTACCAAGCCTGTCAGACACCACTTCTGTCTAGTCCATGAGATAGCAAGTTTCTAGGTTTCTCCAGTTATGTTTCTCATAGCTAGGAATAAAACCTCTAATACAATGTCTACCCAGGCCCACTGGGCACGCTTATTGAGGTGGGAAACTAACTGGGGTGAGCCATGGTGTGTTTGTCTGACCCCAGGAGATTAATCTCCAGATTTTGATTCTCTTTTTGGGGGAGTAGCCCATCCTCATGCTCTGAAGCAGGCCTTCCAAGAAGGTAGTATAACAGGCAATAAGCAAGTTCCCAACCAAAGAAAAACACTGGACATTGTACATATGGAGCATTCAAGTTGAAAATAGTCTACATTCATGAGAGATGGATACGTATTTATAGATGAAGAGATAAGACAATATACATTTTCAGGAGCAAAATGTATGCCTTAGTGCTGCTGCCTCCACATCCAAAATTATAGTGGGGTTCGTCGTGGGAGTACTCACATGGGGCGAGATAGGAACCGGGAATACCACTTGGCAGAGTCCTTCAAATACCTCTTCTGGTCATGGTCGTAGTCTACGAAGACTAGCCCAAACCGCCTAGTGTAGCCCATGGCCCACTCGAAATTGTCCATAAGGGACCAGGCAAAATATCCACGCACATTCGCACCATTCCTGCAACACGCCACAAGCTCGCAGAGGATTAAAACATGTCCAAATTAAATGCTTTATAGACTGTTACGCACACACTCAACAAGCTCATGCTCTGCTTCTGACGAACTTACCGAATGGATTCAAGAACAGATGACAGATAGTTTTCATAGTAAGCGATACGGTTGGAATCGTTTAGAAAATCTGTCGCAAGCTTGGTGTTGCCGAGGTCGTCCGAGTCATCCATACCTGATTGAAGATGAAGAAACTGCTAGTTTCAAAACATCGCTGCAGCTTGAAAACACAACTCATTGAAGACAAAATTTGGGAGTCTTTCAGGCATTTGTACAATGAGGAAAGAATGATTGCAAGTCACCATTTTCTGTGATGTACAGCAACGGTTTTTGGTATCGCTCTGTCAGCCACAACAAAGTTTTCCCAATACCCCAAGGTACTATGTATAGCCACTCTGAAGCCGCCTGCAGGTGGTGTGCACATTAGAATCGATGAAACTGATTGTGAAATTAATATCCAAACAATTCATGTCTTATCTTACAATACCACTTTCTGGATATATAAATGCATCGTATCATGACATGTAACTCCACTGCACCAACAGCAAGTGGAGGGAGCTAGGAATATAAGGTCTAAGCTTAAGAGCTAAGTTTTATCAGAAGGCAAATAAGCCGTACCCGATTTCCAATTAATTCTCCATTCCGCGTCACTGCAACACCGAATCAAGTTCACACGTCAATAAAGAGTAGCGTCCTGAGCAATGCAAAAAATCATTACACTCATTGAGAACAAAACAGAATACCTGAAGACACCATTGCCTGATCTTCCCAATAGCTGCTGGCCAGTGCATTCGCTGGAGGAGTACCGGCAGCTACAAATCTGGAAGTGTAGTGGTTAAGGCCGATGAAGTCCAAGGATCCTTTCAGCAATGTGATCTCGTCCGGAGTAAACAAAGGCAATCGGTCACCCACATATTTGCGCATGACTGCTGGATAATCGCCATAGTATATTGGATCCAAAAACCTAAAAATGAGAACGATAAGAGATTATATGAGAAGGTTTGATCACCTCCTATGACACACAAGGCTTTCTCAGAAAGCGAGGCACTTCAGAAATCTGCATTAGTTAAAATTCATACCAGCCCAACTGGAAAAGCACATGTCGCTCTGCAGCTTCTTTATCTGCAGGAGAATCGGTCATCGGCTCACCCCACTCGCAGTCCACCGCAATGCCCACCATGCCACCCTGTGTGGCCTTGAATTTTTTCCGGTATATGTCGACAGCTACAGCATGAGCAAGAAGCGCATTGTGGCCCGCAAGGTAAGGCTCCGTAGCTGAGTTACCTTCAGGACATTTCATTCGGTCAGAGCATCTTCCAGGTGCGTGTAATCCAATTCCATATCCAAGATTAGAAAATTGCTGAGGCTCGTTGAATGTCATCCAGTGCTTGACTCGATCGCCGAATGCAGCGAAACAAGTCTCAGCGTACAACGCAAAATCATTCCTATCATGATCATGAAAAGTTCAATTAGCTTTCATTTTTTTGAATGAGGTCGGAGCTTTGAAAAGCAGGTTATTAGAGTTAACCAAAACAATCAACAAACTAGAAAGAGGACGGACGTTGAAACTCACACAACTCTGCGGTCAATCCAGCCGCGATATGAATCATAAAGAGACTGCGGAAGGTCCCAGTGATAAAGTGTCACGTATGGTTGGATACCTGCACATTCATAGCCTCTAAACATTAACACACATCACAGAACGGTTAAAAGGGAATTCAAACATGTGATAATGACGAAAAGAGCACAGAAAATCAACCAAACCTTTTTTCAAAAGACCATTTATAAGGTTATTGTAGTACGCCACTCCTTCTTGGTTCACGACTGGGTTTGGCCCACCTGCAAGCGAATAAAGAAATTTTACAAACAGGTCAACAAGATTTAAATCTCAAGCACACTAGACACACATACTAATACAAATAAAAATTGGAAACAATTCGGCGTACGACAACAAGCTCACTAGACTAGGCGTCACGAAAAATGACCTAGTTTCATGATTCTCGACCAGGCGATGGAGAATCGAAACGCATCAAGATTCATCTGGCTCATCAGGTCGATGTCTTCCAAGTACTTGTGATACTGGTCGCTTGCCACATCGCCATCCTTTCCATCCACAGTCTTCCCTGCAGATCGAAACTCCACTAAAATTAACCAAGCTGAAATTGAACTAAAATTTCTCAGCTCTTGGCCACGGCTCCCCTTTTTATTGTCACGATGTTCTTGATGAAGGCTTTACCTGGGGTTTTCGAGAATGTGTCCCAAATGTTTGTCTCCCGACCTCCCTCGTACGCAGCGCCTTCCACCTACAACACATACCGATCCTGTGAGAAGTAAGTCCTGTAAAATGTGGGCATGCAAGACCCTCGATAAATAGACGGACTATCCTAACCTGGAAAGCAGCCGTGGCAGCCCCAAACACGAATTTGTCCGGGAACAGCGATCGGTGGAAGGGCACGCAATCGGTGCCATTGCTGTGAGTGGCGCTCATTCTGCAGGGCAGCACAACTGGATCGAGGCGTTGCGGCAGAATGGCCTTGGGGAGCTGCACGAAGAATAGAACCATGACGGGGATGGCGAGCAGAATAAAAGCTCCCCGGGGCAGTGCGTACCCGAATGCATGGCATCTTGCCATCGGCTCCAGCGTCACCATTCAGTCAATGATCAGTCAACCAGAATAGTCTGCACAAACCACTCGTAAAATCTCCTTCGGACCCGCCATAGCCACCAACGTTCATACATGCTCACCATCTCTCAGACGCACTGTCTTGAAAGTCCGGATGTCGCCTCCTGAGATCTTAACTAGAAAAGGACAACGAAATAAAAATGTTAAAAATAGAATCAGGGATGAGCTCAAAAATAGCGTGCATTGTTGTGCGAATCTGGAAAAGGCTGTACTGTGACCTACTGAAGGATGCACCATCCGTTCTTCGAGGACATTATTGAATCGGCTGTATTTGTTAATCGTTAATAATTCAGTTCTGCCGCCAGAACCGGATTCGACGGAAGCGTGTCGTCGCATCTGAAGCATTGCCAGAGGTCTTTTCTGAAGGGTTCACCTGACAATCCAGCCCCATGAGGTGTGTGCTGGTGAAGAGAAAGGGATAGGGGACCCAACGCAGACCCCCAACAGCATCAAGTGGCATGTCATACAATTAACCTTGTTAAGACACTCAGAATGATATCTGGTGGAACTCTTGGAACCATCGTAGAGCTTGATGATACAACCAACCCACGATGATGGATGAAGCCCAACAGCTTTTCAACGGTCAGTCAACTGTCTATATTCAAAAGCAAACACCCATGCACAGAAACCCAAGTCAAACTTGTGAAAAATAAAGCGAACAAAGTTGAGTACGAAAACTCCACTTCCACGGCCCAAAGTGAATGTCACACAGGGGGGGAGGGATGCGAGGAGTTATTCGGTGGAATTTCAAGCAAAGCCACCCTATGCAATCCAGAATGACAATCAACGCCGGGAGCTCTGGTTCAAAACCCAAAATGCACAGCGTTCTCTTGAATTCGGCAGATCCGGCAAGTTTCAGTGCAAGCTGACGAGCTTGAACAAATCTTCTGGCATTCGCTTGTGTTGATGGAAAACTCAGTTGGGCAATGGTGCAAAACCCAAATTGGGCTTTGCGTGGAAAAATCCGACACGGCTGTATCATCGAATTTAGGGTTTGTAAAAATCGTAAGAAGTCCTACGATAAGGAATTCTGGCGAGGAAACCTTCGCGATCCACGCTTCGAAGACGAGAACCCGGCAAATTCCGGCAAAATCCGGCTGCCGAGGCTCGAATTCTCGTGACAAAGCTTTTTCATGCGAAGCGGATCGGCGATCCCTCGGTGATGGGTACAGTTACCCATCGGACAAATACGCGGTTTTGGAAACGTGGCGCGGCAATATTGTAAGGGGGGTGCCGTGGAGCGACGGTAATTGGGGCACAAGGACTAGTTTGACGTCTTCGAGATAATCGTTTCCGTTGTTTCCACGTGTCAAATTGTGAGTGGTCGGGTCTGGTTATTGAATTGTCTGAATCTCAAATGAATTGAAAAAATAGCCTTTTACTTTTCTGGAATTGACCATAGTGTTGGAATATTTCACAAGAAGAATAAAAGTTTATATTATATTATGTTGTTCTTGTTGTCTTCAAGCTTCAATATACCAAAGCAATTGAACTAATAGCGGTGGGTTCGAACACGAGGAAAGACTGGTTATATGAATTGGATCTGTTAGTGTCACAATTGACTGTATTCTAGCTATCTAAAATCAATTATCAAACTACAAAGCACCAAGGCTTACTACTTCCATCTTAATTCAACACATAATCCATTCTACGAATATCAATTCAACAATACTTCTATATTCTTATCAGTTCATCTCCCACTTATTCTCTTTGCGGTTTATATATATTCAATTACTGATCTCCAGTTTACTTATTATATTCAATTTCTCAATTCATCACACAGAATTCAATATCTTCACTTAACACAACACAATTCGATAATCTCAATTCTCAAGGTCACAGATTTTCTCCAAAACGGTCAGTCCAAAGTCATATTCCACAATATTCTAATCACAATTTCAACAATACTTCTTTCAATCACAATTCTTCATAAGAAAATAATAAAAGCAAAGAAAACAAAGAGGTAGCACGAAGCTTATCGCAACTTATGACTATTTTAGTCTGGCCACGATCTCCCTTTTTCAACCTCTTTATCCTACCAAAAGATGGACCGTCGGCCATCAGATTCCAAAGGTTATGAACCTTTGAATTCTTAACCATTTGTTCCACTAACAACCTACTGTTACCAACTAAAATGCCTAACCATAAGTCTAATTCTCAAGGTTATCAATAACCAACTAGTAACTTACCACAAAATTTATTTACATATTCTATACAACTCCACTCTTAATTGTATAGTGCCCTCGCAAACATTATTTAGCCTCAACTTATAAAGACGTAGCAGCGTTGGCTTCTTCAGTCAAAGGCTTACCACCCTATGAATTGGCGACCTCTTCCTCTACTACATCTTTGTCATGTGCCTTAGTGTTCGAGGATTCTCCATCCAAACGCGCTGTCAGATCTTCATTCAAGAAACTCAATTCCCATACTTGAGACTCAAGACGGGCAATATGGTTATCATGCTCCTCCAACATCTTCTACCATTCTTCTATCGGTTTCAAAGGTATCACCGAAGGTATTGTCGCTGAAACTAGCGTATTGGTCCGCACTAAATTATTGGCCTCCTTTTCTAATGCAGCTAGTTTAGTCTGCAACATCGCAACCTCTACCTGCAGCCACTCTTGCTGTTCCTTCCAATCGGTCTCCATCTTTGCTTTCTCAGACACCATGTTTGCCACCTTCTCCTTTTCCGCCATCCACTTCTCCTTAACCCCAACCTCTACCAGCGCAATGTCAATTAATAATAAGTTTTGTGAAATGCGTAAAAACCCATGCATATGCGCTCCTCGAAAATCCTACTACTTCTCCTTAGTCCAACAAACATCCAATCGGATCGGCTCCATATTAGTCACAATAATATACTCCAATGGTAGCAACTCATCATTGCGCCTTACATTGCGTTGTTTCTCTTTCCTATTCAACTGCCTCTTAGTCTTCTCAATCGCCATAGTATTCTAACACAAGCAAGCACTCACAACTAATCTTTCAAAATACACATACATGGCTACTTACACAAAAGAAAACACAATGCTTGTCAAGAGCCCCTCTCCTATTTCTTACTATGGTCTAATCAATTGGATCGACTATCCCTTATTTCACACGATTCGTCATGATGAAATATCCTACTAACTATATCTGACAACCAGTCTTTATGTCAGGGACAAGAACTCGATGAAAGCTAAAGAGTAAGTGAGACTTTTCTCAAAAAGAAATAGGACAAAATAGAAATATGTATATTAAGAAAGAAATTGGAATGGCTATTGCCAAAATACAAGAAAACTAGAGACCCTTGAAACTAGACTAGAAGCAAGAAAGGAGTTGACAAGAGTGAAGAAGGCTTCACTCTTGCCTCTATATATACTATCTAACTAGAAGCCACGTGGCGATGTTCTATAAGACCTCCAATATATGTTGACTTTCTAGGCCACATGCCTTTGCTTGCAAGGCAAGTTTTCTATGGATGGACCACGTAGTTAGCTTGTTCTTTAAGCTTCCAACATGTGTGGCACATGGCTAACTTGTTGACCAAGTTTCTAACCTAAAAGTCAACTATAGACTCCTATAAAGTCAAAGCAGCGTCTATGAAGCTTCTAAGAAGCTTCTCTAGAAGATATTACACAATTAACCTACTTTTACATACTTTTATCTATTCATATAGGTAATTATATGTATGTCCGTGACATTACCCCCCCTTCTAGAGACGAGTTCCACGATGAGCGGTGATTATATATTGAGAAAATCTAATATGCGGCGAATTGTATTTGCTACATACTCTGATCTTTGTTCTCTTCGAAGATAGTTGATGGGTCCTCTTAGCCATCGATAGTGTCCCATTCCAGGGCGAGAAGACCACCCTGTTATTTGATCACTGTTGAGGCCTTCATAACTTCCTTCAAATAATACATTTGAAACACCATCAGGAGTCGTTCCTATCTCCAATAATATCACCAAACATCGAGAATCTCTTCCAAGGTCGTGATACCAAACGCGTTGTATCTCACCATCTATTCGAGGAAGAACATGTCGTTCTTGAGGGTCTTCATTTCGGTTGCGTCGTCTTGAAGGTTGTGACAATCGCAATGTCTCATTCGGTAAGTCAGCAAACGAAGGTTCTTGAGTTGAATCCGCTGGTTGTTGGCTCTCCATCTAATTAGCGTCACAAAATGCAAAGAAGTTACAAACAAGGATAGGAAATTGAATGTTATCTTGCCTCAATCTTGTCTCTTTTATAAGAGAGGTTTTCATCTTGGTTTTGATGGATGTCGTTGATGAAAAACTTTGACTTTAGCTGATGCATTTGCTAGATTCATGGATGGCTCCCATGTGCGCTCACTAATATCATATCCGCACCAATGAACAAGATATTCCAGCTTATTTCGGCGCCGCCTTGAGTCTAATATCTCTTCCACCTCAAATTCTTCATTATTATCTACTTCTATAGGAGGCGGTGGCATTTGTCTTCTTCCTTGTATATCCACTGTCTTATATGGTTCAAGAAGAGATACGTGGAATACAGGATGGATCTTCATTGACTCTGGTAGATGTAACCGATATGCAACTGGGGTTGATCTGTTCAGAAACAGAAAAGGGGCCAAGCCTACGATAGTCCAATTTGTCACAAGGTCGAGTGGTCTTGATATTGCGACGAAGTAGCCATACCTTATCACCCACGTTGAGTTGTGATTGCTCTTTACGATATACATCTGCATTTATCTTTTGTCGTTCTTGAGCTTTCTTCAACTGCGCCTTCATTATTGCATGTAACTCTGACAACCAATTTGCCATATCTTCTGCTGCAGGATTACCAACTTTTGAAAAATCAAAAGTATCAAGTCGTGGATGATAGCCATAATTGGCAAAAAAAGGTGTTTGGTGCGTGGAGGAATGTACCGTATTATTATAAGCAAACTCTACCAATGGCAGAAGGTTTGTCCAATCATCTTGTTGGTAGTTGATGGTACACCTTAAATACTGTTCCAAGACTTGGTTTACGCGCTCTGTTTGTCCATCAGTTTGAGGATGGAAAGCTGAAGATAGCTTTATGTCCACTTTTAAAATCTTGAAAAGAGTCCTCCAGAATCTCGACACAAATTGAGTTCCCCTATCCGATATGATATCTTTAGGTAATCCATGATAGCGATAGATATTATCAATGAAAAGCTTAGCTGTTTCTTCACCTGTGATAGATTTTGTACATGGCATAAAATGTGCCATCTTGGTGAAACGATCTACTATCACAAATATAGAATCATA